TATTTTGGGTCACATGGCACCTGAAGCTCTCAAGAGAGTAATAAATGTGATTATTGTCCTGCTCAGGCTGGGACAGGCCCTGCTCCTTAGGATTCTCACACCTCTGATATATCTGTGACATAACGCAAAGACGTCTGTTCACATTTCACTTTTTCTTACTAAGTCTGTGAGTCACTAGCTCTGTACTTCTATAATAAAATCTTCAATGTACAAATTATCTAGGACGTTATTGAAAGACTGATTCTGATTCAGTATGTCTGGAGTGAGGCCTGACATTATATTTCTAGTAAACTGCCAGTGACACTCATGCTTCTCGTCCAGGGTCCACATTGTAAGAAAAAGGTACTAGTAACAAGTTACACCTGTTTTTTTCCCTCTGTACCCAGGACTGAGACTGGCACTAATGAAGCAGGCACAGAGGAAATATTTGCTGAACTGACTAGGCAAATATCTAGCAAAAAATATTCCTTTGAGTTCTTGCTCTAAGCCTGGTAGTTTACAACACGTCCTTGTTCCTTTCCTACGGGAGGGTAGGAAAGAAATACCTTGTGAGGCACTGAGAGCCAATTAAGTTTAAATTGGCATGCTAGCAATGTCTCAAGGGACCTATGTCAACCTAAATGAGAATGAGTGCAATTACATAAAGGGGGAATTTACCCTTTAACCCATTCAGTGCCAACCTACTATCAGAGATGCAAAATCAAGGCTTGGGCATTCTGTGTCACCATCAAACTCACTGGGTTCTGGAGACCACCATTTTTGGCTCTTTGAGGACTCTGTTCCCAATTGATCAATTCTGCCTTTCTACCTTGGAAAATAAATTATAATTTAACTCTTGGGGATCATTTGAGGTTATCACTTGAGTAATTCTCTTCAAACATCTTGCAGCAAATGACTCATTTATTAAGTTCATTAAATTTAGAATTGAATAGTAGCATTGTCAGCTGGAATTTTTGAAGTAAAAAAAATACAGCATAACTTTCTCCTTTGTATTTTAAAGAAGAAAATTATATATATGTTCCAGATACTTAGGAAATTATTGATGGTTGATTCCTGTTTTCAATTCTTCTCTTGATTCCCTTACGTCTCAAATTTCAAGTCTGTATTCAACAAAATTGACATGTTTGGTCTGCTTAAGTTGTTTCATCCCTTTTGATTATTTTATCTTCACTGTTCCCAGGAAAATATGTTAGGTAGCTGGGCCAGCAATGAACTAACCAACCTTCAGAGTAATCTATCCTTTGTTCCAGCTTTTTGTACAAAGTAATCAGTTCTGCCAAGGGATTCTCCAGTAACGGTTATTATAAAGAGAAGAATCTAGGGAAGGAAGAAACCATTTGCTGAATTTCCACTTTGTGACAGCTGTAAGGCTAAGGATTGGACATTCATTATGTCATAACCATCTCAGAGGAAAGTTGACATCTCCATTTGAAATATGAGGCATGGAGGCTCAGAAGTTAGACAACTTGAAGCGGGCAGCATGGCTAGCATGTGGTAGAGTCAGGATTTAAATGCAGGTTGGTCAACACAAATGATGTCTTCTCAGATATGCCTTGTACTTTCTATGGGTTGATCTTTTGCTGCTATCTCCTCAAAACATTCTAAACATATCCATGGCTCTTTACTACTCTACAAGTAAAATCTCAGCCAATTTTCTTGGCTTCAGGCCTTCTTAATCTGAACCCACAATCCTTGACCTTGTGTGACAGATGAAAATAGTGACAGAGACATGCCATCCTAAATGCTAAAGTCTGGTGCTGTCCAAATTTCCTGTCCTTCAATACATTGCTCTGCACTTTAACTGCTTCTCTGCCCCTGTGAGATATGGAGTCTTGATCT